AGGCGAACAAAGAGGTGGACGCCTGAGCTTTTCCACATTTATAACGCTGTGAAGCAACTGTAAACTCTAGAGGGAATTTATATCTGTAACTGTAACCAGTTCGATTTTGTTGCTAACCTGGTTAAAATGTCATATTTAATTATCTTAAAGATAAATCGTCTAGCTCAAACCATTGTAGGGGTGAGAGGTGGGACCATCATCATCATCATGATCCGCACATATCTACAAGCTTATATATGCCCCTGTAGGTATATGTGGATTACTTGACCTATCTGTCTATTATTACCAATCTAAGTTCAAGGCTTGGCCTAATTTGAACCATTTTTTTTTGACAAGAAAAAGAAATAGTTTTGTTTCGTTTACCATACAATTTTGTATGTATGTAAGGTAGCCACCATCCCTTCAAACATCTTGTCTTGTATGCAGCTCCACTTAATAGCAAGATCAATTTGAGCTACCGATCTGAATTCACAATATCGCTGTATGAAGGGCCAAGAACGGAGGTGCGGACCCGTAAGCAGAGACACTTACGCGAAATCCACGGGAATTTAAGAATCTCCTTCCAACGATACGATCCAACAAATCGGATAACGCAATTCGCAATACTTATTAAGCTTTCTACAGGATGGTTTGTAAAGAAGGGCGCGTCGGTAGGAATCGGTAGGATACAGAAAATGATAGTGTTTATTCCCTCCTAGACTCCGGTTGTCATACAACTCCAATTGTCCAGTTCCAGATCAAATGATACCCTGATGCTCCCTCCCAACCCAGTATTTATTTATATAATGAAAATATATGTAATAGAGAAATGAAATATATCAGAACATGAAATAATGAATATAAATTTATCTATATAGATGAAATAGTTGATATTCCGCAATGAAAATAATATTTATTTAACATATAACAAGATGCAGCCCTATGTTTCTTCAGCTCACAATATCAAGTGGATGTAACACTAAAATTTCAAGGTTATATTAAGCAAATATATATTTTATCTCTAATTACTAATAATGTAAGGATGTAAATGTAAAGTGTAAAGTGTGATGTATAACTAACATAACTAACAATAAAATAGAATTACGAGAAAAATAAAGAAAAGATCTCACCCGATATGTTGCAAAGGAATCCATGACATCACGATGATTTCGAAGAGCTCCAATAGTTATGCTGGCGCTACTTCTTCAACCGGTGTTAAAAACAGCACTCTCGCCTTTTTCGTGCTAAATTAAGTTAATCATTACAAAATATTGCTAACACTTCTACTAAACTTAATACTTCAAAAATCAATCTAGAACTGTTTCGTTTACCATACAATTTCCCATAAAAAAATGTAAAATTCTCCCACAAATCCAACTCTTAATCAAATTTGATAAAAAATTGGCACCGTTGTTGGGAACCTCACACATCTAAAGAGCAGTGGAAAGCAGCGGGTTGTAATCCGCCTGACAACTATGACCCACCGGCCACCCTAGTGCTCGTGGATTCACTAAAAATTATGGGTGACTTCCATAGGCGTGTGCAGCCCTCTTCATGAGGGAGGGCAATCCAACCAATAGAGGGGCGCCACACCGCGCACCAATCTTGAGAAAAGAAATTCTCAGTATGCCGAAGGTGTGCCGATTGTGCCGGCAGTGCCTGTGATAAAGCAAGCTGCGATTGTTTGTAAAATACGTATATTATGGTATATTTGGCAACCCGGTGTTCTGACAATTTGAATGTTTCGGTTTGCAATCGCAAGGATAAAATCGGTCTAGCGCAAGGAGTAATCAACTCGGCATACTGTACCGAAACACATCACGGCACACTGCTCGGCACGCACAAAGAATGACAAGAATGACACAGAATATATTACAAAATGGCAACACTGTTTTTTGCTGACGATTTTTCAATAGTTGCTAAGGTTTCACACTTTTTTGACAGTCGCTGATCTTCGCTTCCGGATGAATTTAATAAATCCATCGGACTAGACGATCGTATCCCGGATTAGAAGTCAGCCCTATAGGACTTTGCTCGGATCTCTCCTGCAGTCAGTACTTCGTCTAATTCCCTGCAAGAGTTGTTAAAGTGTAGTGATAAATTGCAGCGCCGAGATCATAACCAGCGACAGCAATAACTAGATCACCCTCTGGGTCATCCACTTTTGCAACCAACGTGATTGCAACAATTCCTTGTCGTTTCCGGTAGCGACAATATCGGAAATCACGGTTTACATGGGTCCATTCCACAGGCACGGTGGCCAAATACATAGGATCATACAAATCATCCTCCTCGGATGAGCGATCTCCATAGCCACCGGTAGCTCATCCTGTTTATGATACCCTATTGTGCAGTCTTTGACAATACAGGTATACCTCAATATAAAGTAAATTTGACTTCCATCGCCGATATCTCACAAATAACAGTTCAATTATTTAAATCGGAATGAACAGTAGATGGTGGATTGTCTCATATCTTTGATGGTGTTATTAAAGGGTGATACGGTCAAAATTTGGTCAAGGGAAAACGCGTGTAAATCGGTGAAATCGTTTATTTAAAAAACCAAATTAAATTTCTTTTTCAAGTTCAATTAGTATAAAATTCAGGAAAAATATTCAGTTAGGCTTCCGCTTTTCCAAATCCGAATTGCCGGGCCTTACGCTTGACCCCTGCCATCAGATTTTGTACAGCCACCTTGTCCACCTTCTTCGCCGCAGAAAGCCAGTTTGCCTTGAACTGCTGCTCGCCCTTAGCAGTTTTTTTGGTCTTCTTTAGGTTCCGCTTGACAATAGCCCAGTATTTCTCAATTGGGCGGAGCTCTGGCGTGTTGGGAGGGTTCTTGTCCTTGGGAACCACCTGCACGTTGTTGGCGGCGTACCACTCCATGGCCTTTTTACCGTAATGGCAAGATGCCAAATCCGGCCAAAACAGTACGGAACAACCGTGTTTCTTCAGGAAAGGCAGCAGACGTTTATTCAAACACTCTTTCACGTAAATTTCTTGGTTGACAGTCCCGGAAGCTATGAAAATGCTGCTTTTCAAGTCACAGGTACAGATGGCTTGCCAAACCAGATATTTCTTTGCGAACTTTGACAGTTTCATGTGCTTGAAAACATCTGCTACCTTTCCCCTTCCTTTTGCCGTATAAAACTCCTGTCCCGGAAGCTGCTTGTAGTCGGCTTTGACGTAGGTTTCGTCGTCCATTACCACGCAGTCAAACTTCGTCAGCATCGTCGTGTACAGCCTCCGGGATCGCGCTTTGGCCGTCGTATTTTGTTTATCATCGCGATTTGGAGTCACTACCTTCTTGTAAGTCGATAGTCCGGCTCGTTTTTTGGCTAGATGCACGGTTGTAGACGATACACCCAGCTTATTTGCGGCATCTCGGAGAGAGAGGTTAGGGTTTCGCTTGAAACTACCGGCAACTCTCTTTGTCGTCTCAGCGGCTTCCGGTTTTCGATTTCCCCCCGATCCAGACTTCCTGGCTGTCGACAAACGTTCCCCAAACACTTTAATTACATTTGTAACGGTTGATTTGGCAACTTTTAGCGATTTTGCCAACTTTGCGTGCGAGTAGCTCGGATTTTCGCGATGCGCGAGCAAAATTTTGATTCGCTGCTCTTCTTGCTTGGACGGCATTTTGACAACTGAAGAGTGAATTCCAAAACCAAAATAGGAGCAACATTCTACACACACACACCTTCAAAATGAGGGGTGTTCAGGTTTTTTAAATGCAAAATTGAAAGAAATACGTCAAGTTGATATTGACCAAATTTTGACCGTATCACCCTTTAGTAATGAAAATGACGCTTTTTAGATCACACGTGCATATGGCCTGCCAGACGAGATATTTGTTCAGGAACTTCGATAGTTTGATGGTTTTGAAAATTTCAGCCACCTTCCTTTTCCCTGATGCGGTATAAAACTCATGTCCTGGAAGCTGCTTGAAATCCGCCTTCACATAAGTTTCGTGTGAGAACGTCGGATTCTCTTGCTGCGCGAGCAAAATGTTTACACGCTGCTCCTCTTGCTTGGACGTCATTTTGAAAATTGGAGAGCAAACGGTGAAAACTCATCATAGCAACCATTGTATAAACACTCAACTTCCAAATGCAGCATTTCTCGATTACTTTTTCAAAGGGACGTATCAGCTTTTGTAAACAATGCATTTGATCGTCAATTTGGCGTAACTGGTAGCTCGCACACGCATACTAACAACACTATCAGTTAGGGGAACACTTCCCCTGTCTAATGATGGTGTTAGCATGCGTGAGCGAGCTGCCAGTTACGCCAAATCGACGTTAAAATGCATTGTTTACAAAAGCTGATACGTCTCTTTGAAAAAGTAATCGACATTTCATGTTTTTTATGCATTTTTAACAGAAATAAACCAATTTGAAGTGACCAATTTTTTGCGCGTTCCAGACTTTATTCAACTGGTAGCCTAAATATGGTATTGATGAGCCTGACATAAGAGGTAAAATACTAAAAATAATATCCTAAAAATGTTCTACGAATAACGAGCTAATAAATAATTTAGTTATTGTAATAACTGATGAATAATTAACGCTTTTGTATGCCAGAATACCATAATTTGTTGTTTAAACGGTCTTTTAATACCAATCCAAAAACTCGTTTAGGTGTAATTGTCTAAAAACTGGAAGATCGCTGTTTGTTATTTTGGTATTTAATTGGTTTTTTACAAAATATTTCGATAACTGACTAACAAAACAAGGTTTTATACCACAAGCATACCAAAATAAGGTATCATACCTATTTAATACATTCATCGGTTCTTGCTTAGGAAGTCTTGTTGTCCTGCTATATTTAGCCCAACCATTGAGTTTTGGTTATACCGTTTATGAAACATTCAAATCGTTATCTTCCCACAATTAACTGAAATTACTCGAGCCACTAAAAATGCATTATCAAATTCCGAGCAACTGTATATGATTCAATTACATCTCCAATGGTTTAATCGACAATTTATTTTCTCATTCCAGGTTGACATAAAGTAAACGATGGCTCTAACTGCAGTAGCCCTGGTTGTCCTTGTAACCACCTGTTTTGTCAGGGGTCAAGTGAACCTGCTATCACCAACACAACCACTAAAACAGTCCCCACTACAGTCAGCCGCCACAAGCACGCTCAAACTACCATTCAACCTTCCACCCCTACTACCCTCAGCATCGAATAAAGTTCCCAGCATATTCAATAATCAACAAAACCTGCCATCGAAATTCCCACCGCAATTTAATTCCCAATTCCCATCTCAACACCCTCCCACACTACCTCCTCAACTCCAATCGCACCTTCCCATCCAGTTACCGCAACATCTCCAACAGCAGATACCATTCCAGCTGCAGCCACAATTCCCTATCCAACCACCACCCCCTTTTCCGGCCCATATCCCACCGTTCCTACAGAACAGCATACATTCCGCGTTACTTCCTCCTCAATTCCCTCCTTCCCTTCCCACAAAATTCCCCCCTCCACCACCGCAGAAATCAAAGTTCCAACTACCTCCTCCAAAATCAAGCAACCCACCATTCCCTTCACTGTCCGTCCATCCCGGAACGAGAAATGTCTCCATACAAGCCAACCGTGCACCTCGGACTCTTCAAATGATCGGCTCCAGTAGCGGGCAGACATTCCACAAAATCACCGACAATCTTCGACCTGGTAGCCATCCATGGTACTTTAAAAAGAACGCGTTACCAAAACGACAACCGCATCCACAAGCACCCAAACTACTGGGCGGCACTACACCGTCGCCTCTTCTTCATGCGCCACGACTGATCCCTCTGAATCAGTTCAACCAGTTGGAACAAATCACCAAACTAAACCAGCAGAATCAGCCCCAAATACAAACTTCCCTCAATCATTGGTCACTCCTGAACAATCAACACCTGAATTCTCTGAACACGATCGGCAACTTGTGGACAGGCCCTAACAACTTCAACCATGGACCCCAGCTAAGCAATCTGAATAATCAGAATTTCAACAGCCACGGGTCCTCCTCATTGAAGAGCTTCGATCATTCGTTGTCTAATTTGAACAGTCTCAAAAGTTCGAACAACCAGAATTTAAACAGCTATGGGTCTTCGTTTAGTGGCTTCGACACTTTGAATTCGTTGCCGAATTTGAACAGCTTCAAGAGTTTGAATAACCAGAACTTCAACAGCCACGGTTTCAGCAATTTGAATTCGTCACCTAATTTGAACAGCTTCAAGAGTTTGAATAGTCAGAACATCAACAGCAACGGGTTTGACAATTTTAATACGTCACCAAATTTGAACAGCTTCAAAACTTCGAGTAACCAGAATCTCAACAGCCAAGGATCCTCATTGAATAGCTTTGACACTTTGAATTCGTCACCTCCTAATTTGAATAGTTTTAAAAGCTCGAATAACCAGAACCTTAAAAATCATGGCTCCTCCTCATCGAGTGGATTCGAGAATCTGAGTGTGTTGCCTAGTGTGAACAACAATGTCAAAAGTACATCCAACCAGAATCTCAATAGCCATGGGTCCGCACTGAATGGTTACGACAATTTGAGTTCGTCTCCTAATGTGAACAATTTCAAGAACTCGAATAATCAAAACCATGCGTTCGCATCATCGAGTGGATACGATAATCTAAGTCTTCTGCCTAGCGTGAACAACAACAACGTTAAAAGTTCGCCAAATCAGAACCTCAACAGCCACGTATCTTCATCAAACAGCCACACCAATCTGAATTCGTCACCTAGTTCGAGCAGCCTGAAAAGTACGAATCCTGGGGTGGTATCCAATTTGCACATTAATGTTTATTCCGATTCTACACCGCATCAGAACACCAACCAGGCCCCTCAGTCGAACCATTCACCGCAACAGTATAATAGCCCAAATCAGTCTCCGTTCACGACCAGTTTCAACCAACAGATTCCATTTGCCTCGCATCAACAGTCCTCATCGTTCTATCCGAACGCTCTGATTACCCCACAGGAGATTTTCAAAGATTCAGCCTTTCAGATATCTGCAGTCACCATTCCTGAGCCCGAAAAGCCACAGTTCGACACTCTCCGCAGTCAAGTGAGCGCCTTGAAGGCAAAGCACAAAGATTTCTTCAGTGATCACCACACCGGAGACCCACCACATTACAATACATTACAATCATCATACCAACAGTTGCACCCCAAACCGGCATACGGACCACCAAAACCGGTATATGGACCGCCATCACCTCCACCACCACCATCACCACCGCCAACACAATCTGTGAGTGGCATAAATCCATGGACCCCCATGGAGCAGAACAAGTTGGTAGCTCCCAAATGGAACCCGGTCAAGTTCGAATTTCAACATAGCACCGGCTTGGCACAGGACCATGAACAGTACAACAGTCCAAAGAAGACACTACCGTTGAAGAACGATTTCGTCGGATTTCCACCGGCGAAGGGGTCGATCAAGAATGAACTGAACTTCATCAGCAACTGGGAGAAAGGTATCGGCATAATTCATAAAACCGATCACGGAAACGCCGAAAAAGGCCAAACGATAATATCGGCCGGCGAAACGGACGATTTCAAGAAGATGGACAAGGGCCAGAACAAGCAGGAATCGAGCATGGTAGAGGTGATCAGTATGGATCAGATGCAGCGAAGACTAACGGGTAAGAACGAGACATCGAAGAAGCAAACTGCGGGGCCGAAGAAAACATTTGGAAAGGGAAAGCATCCTACAGGGAAGAAGAATAGAGAGATGCCGGAGGAGCAAAAGTCGGAGGAAATAACGACAGTAAAGCAGGAAACGGTCAACAGTGATGATGGACAGCTGAATGAAACTCAGAAAGCAGAGGCCAGATATAGAAGAAAGCGTGATGTCCCGGGAGATGGCAGCACTACGGAAAGCATTGTTGTTAGCCCGGAGAACGTTAATACGGCCGCTCCTATTTCGGAGCCGGAAACGGAGCCAGAAGCCAATCAGCAGCCTCGTGCAGAACCGTTGGTCGCTCCAGCTACTGAATCGGGGGAAACGTCAACGGAAACGCAAAACGATGACACATTGGTAGCTGATAGGCGAGTTGGAGATGTGTTGGACTCCAGCGAAGAAGCCGCATTGTTTCTGGACTTGGTAGATTATGATAATCCACATGCGGAAGCTCTGACGGGATTTAATTCGGCAGAAGGTGATATACTGTCGGACGAGGATCTCGATGAAGCAAATGCCGCAGGCTTGGCGTACGATGACTACGATGACGCCTATTTAGACGATGAAAATGACGGATCGTCTATCCAGTCCCGATCGGATTCGTTCATTTTTGAGGAACTAGATGGGACAACGTCCAGGCCTTATGCCGTACCGGTGATCTCCGAAAGGGTCGATAATTTTACTTTAATTCCCCAGTCGGAGGCACTGGTCGATCCACGAAGCCTGCATGGCAGAGATCTGATGGACTTCCTGGAAGAAGCGATACGAAATTCGTCTCAGTTCCTACCCGATGAAGCCGAAGATCGTAGCTTTGATGTAGTTGATCCACCAAAGGACGTGATCAAATTCCCTTACTATGACCGTACCGAGGCACCGATCAATGTTGATTCAGCACTGCGCTTTGCCGAGAATTTGACGACCTTCTCGAGAAGCCTTTATGATTCGAAGAACGGTAATCAATGCCACGAGGTCGATGTAGAAATTGCTGAGGATCCGGCAGAGCCGGGTGCAGATGGATTCCTACCGGTGCGTCGGTTGAAGCGATTGGGTAACAAGGTCGATTGCCTCAAGAACAAGCACTTTGGAAAAGAACCCCTGGATAACCCCCTGTTCAAGGAAGAATTCGTAGGCGGAGGACGATCTTCGTCTGCGGATGCGGTGGTACCGCAACCCGATCCGTCGGTAGCCGTATTTAGCGATGTAATTCGATTAATCAAGCAGCATCTGACCGAAGAACAGCGATCAAAGGCCAGGGAATTTAACGACGTGGTTACGCCTAGGCACTTGAACCTGTCCGATACGAAAAATCCCTCACCGAACAATGCCGTTCTGGAGCAGTTGAGGCTTGGCAAGCGCAGGCCATTGCTCCCGAATAAGCAAACAAAGAAAGTGGAGGAACCTAAGACTGAGACGAGCCAAAACACAACAAGCGAAACCCATGGACTGAAGATTGTTTTCCCGAGGCGGTTGAACATCACCAAAACGTACGATGAGGCGAAAAAATCGAAATCAAAATTGGTCGATATTGAAGGGTACAAAGCCAAGCTGAACCATTCGCGATCGGGGGAACATGAGAGCTATAAGGCTTCGCTGGCCAGGAAACTCAACTTTGACAAGCTGGACAAGTCTAAGATTTCAAAGAGTCAACGTCGTAACTCGGATGACGGCTTAACATTCGAATCACTTCCGCGTGAAACCTCACGGTTCATGCCGGTATTCGACATAAATTCGTTCTATCCTAAGTTTATAGCGAGAGCTGATGATGACTATCCATACCCCCTAACAGAGAAGGGATTTGCTACGAAATACGATGAACTAGAACGGGAAGCTGACGAATTGATTAGTGCTGTGCGGAAGAGTAGCGCTGAAGCGGAGCGTCGAATAGTCAACTCAGGAAACGTGCGCGCTGAAAATTCCAAGAAGTTAAAGGACAAGCCTTATGGTACAAGCTATTCTCCATCGTACCAACAATACCGGCTGTTGTCCAGGAAGGACGATCAGAAGAAGACTCCCACCGTGGAAGAGTTGGTCGATTTTTATAGTCAGCGAAGAAGTAACGACAATTACGATTCGCCACTAACGCCCCTAACGCCACTAACGCCCCTCTCACTACCGTCCACCAATTTACCAATCTTCGACGTATCATCGTTCTATCCACGTTTCGTGGCTCGTGAAAACGACGATAAATATCAAGTAAAGCCATTTGTCAAGCGAAAAGACACCAAAATAACGCTGGACGATTTGGAAGCCCTTCAAGCCCCGAAGATAACCCCCAAGACTGACAGTTCCTATAATCCCGAAGCTACGAAGCCCATTACGCCCAAGCAAGTTCGGGATGACATTGCAGATTTCTACGAGGGATCCCAGTCTCAGCCGGCAGGTTCTACGGCCTCCCTTACCTCCAACGAAGGACATCATACATTCAAAAAGTCAGAACCTCCCAACCCGGATCTTCCGGAAACGGATAAAGCAACCTTCCACCTGGATCAACCGGCGACTGGCTCAAGTCACCGAACCCATCGCCTACATCCAGTTAAGGTCGTACCTCGGAAGCGATACAAGACCAAAGCGAAACACCTCAAGCGACCTCCACTAAAGTACCGGAGGAAGAAAGTCTATTCCGGCTTTTTCGACTGATGCCCCAGCCTCCTTACTGAGCCAACGTCCCATCCAATATTCCTCTCCCCTACATAGATGATAATTATTTATTTATTACCTCCTCCCCTCCCCTGTAGTCCTATCCCGAGAACAAACAAAAAATAAGAAGACCAGACGTCCGTACCTATCTAAGCTAGTTAAGTAGGCCAGTGTGATTGCAGATTTCGAATGTAAATAGACACCTTTGCGAGCAGAAGAATTGAGCTGTAGTACTAGTACATAAGTCATAGCAAATAAATGCGCGGAACAAAAAATCACGCTAATAACAATTAAAATCCGTATCGTCTTTCTCTTGTATAAGTATCCGAACGCACCCAGTTGGATTGGACCCGGTGGGAAAATGACTCAAAGCAAGGGGGGAAGGGCCGAGGAAACGGAGAAGATCAATTTTCCGCGTCAACTGCTATGCTGTGACCATGGGACCGTGCAGTGGCGTAGATTGGTTCAGGCGCGTCCGGAAAATTATGCAATTCAAAACGATACGAATCGAAGTAGGCTCAATTATCACCTCGTTTTTCTTTGCTTACACTGCTTCTTCTTGTTCGCTCTGCTGTTGCTGATTGTTTGTACCACGGCTGAGTAAGTACAGTGGCTTATTTTGTAGATCGGAGAGCAACACATAATTTCCAGCTCGTTGAAATCGAGAGTAATTCGGGGGTTGAATAATCCAATAAACTTATTATGACTTTTGCTGTGGGCATTGTGGCCACTGGTTAGTTGATCGTAACTAATTATTCAAGGTAGTTTACGTTTGAAGCGATTGCTTGATAAAAAGGTAGATGCTTGTCATCAATAAATACTTAATTTATGAATCACTACATAAAGCTGGAATTGAGGTTTCTGAGAATTGGTTCTGTATCTAGGTAATTAGTAGATAGAACCCTAAGAATTATCGTTGACATGTGCTCAGCCCAGTGACTCTGCAAATGACGACGTAGTTCGATGATGATCACAGTTCAAATGACGTGACCCTCTTGTGGGCGTGGTTTCAACCGTTGCATGTTCAATAGGAAAGCGTCATCTGATTGACGGGCAAGTAGTAGTAGATTATGACAACAACGAATTTTTCACTATTTTGCACAGCCTTGCAGCTTTGAAAATGGGTAGATTCCATCTGTAAATTTTTGGATGCTATTTATTTGTATTCATCATACGGAGTTACCTCAAAACATCCAAAAGTAATATCTAGTGAAAATCTGATATTAAAATTTCACAAGAATCTTTAGATCATGATAACTTTAGAAAGCTGCGCTTTTTTTTGGGTATCAACCTGGAGCTGCGTGACAGCTTAGTTTTCAAGACTTGACCCATTTGTATAAATTTTGCTTCTATCTTTGACAATACAACAGAAGGACTAGCCTATGTTGGCCGCTTGAACACTGGATTCCGTATGTATTGTTTCAAGATAGTTATAGAAAAAATGCTGTGACTTGTGCGCGTAGATACATCCGCGTAGTAAACCGATGGAATAAGTAAATCCGTTTCGAACGAAATATCTAAATTATGTAAGTTACGAAAAACGCGCGAATTCCGAAAGCCGTGCGAAATAACCGAAGCGAGAAAAAAGGCTTATTATCATTTAAAGAGTGCCACCAAAATAAATGTGATAGCCTATGTTGGCAAGTTGATTAATTTTGGTTTCCTTCGTAAATATTCTACTTATTTTACTGTTGAGCTTTGTTTCAATTTAGTTATTTTACCGCACGTATCAATCATTTCAAGATTTCGCGACCATACCGAATAAATTCTATACTACAGAAGCTCATAAAAACTTTTGGTGAGCTTTATCGCATTGCAAATCACTTCTGCGTAAGCTCCGTAGACGTAGGCGCGTTATTTTCCGACAGCCGCGAAAAGTTAAACATGCATCAATACCACATAAGGAAAGATCGATTTTACGTTCATAGATTAACATTGACTGCTGTTTACAAATGTAAGTACTTGAACACTAAGAAATAAGTTAACTCAAATGCTTTAACCGCACATATAAGAGATTTCGCGTATTGAGAGAATAATATAGTAATCGAGTACAACTAACTCAGGGGAATATAATACCTCCAAAAGTTTAAAAGTTATTAATTGTGACATACCTCTACTTTTACTTATTTCCTAAACTATTCCTCTCCTTGTTAATCTGCTTAATGCTATTGGTCTGTCTGCGTTTTCTTTTTAAAGTTCAAGACTAAATAAGAAGATTTATTCTACAACTTTAAAGGTTAGTTGCCTCCCTAAGCGGACCTTCCGCATCCTAATTCTTTTGTTAATCTACTTAATGTCATAAGACTTTCTGAAGTTTCTTATTTAAGTTCATTTGATGATTATGATATCTCATTAGTCTAATTTATTAAATTATTAAAAGCTCTAATTCACCTAATCAATCATAACCCATGCTTTATTAAGAACCTGCACTTGTGCTTGTAATGTAAAATTAAACGTGTTACAAGTACTTTTGATTTAAGCCTATACCTATTTATTATATCTTGGTTCGACCCAGGTAACACCTTCATGTAACTAAAATGCTTCATTTTGAAGATAGTTTCCTAGCTGATTTTTAAATTATATAGGGTATATGCTCCAACTATGCTCACACGCTTCCACTATGTCGCACCACAAAAATACGTATGGGTATGTCACAATAGAAGCACGCCACAGTGGAAATCCCGAGCCATAGTTCAAACACTTATCCCAAATCAAAATGAAGCACATATAAGATTAGTTACAATACCATGTACAAAAATGATGTTTAACATTGTTTCCTGAGTACTTCAATGAAAACAACAATGAAAGCTTGTCACGCAAATACAAGGAGCACCATTGGGCACTTTCTGAAATATTTCAATAGTATAATTCCCTTGCAAACCCAAATAAATCTATCTGCGTTAAAATAAATAAAATAAGAGTGATTTGCGGCAAAACCCGCCAGTTTCACACCCAACGTCAGTGCCTATACATAAGCGTACTACGACGCGGCTCTCAATAAAAGGAGTAACAAGTGTGATACTATCACTGCTAGACTAGATCTTTGGTTCTCTCATGCAGTGGTTTATCAGAGAGGGGAAGCTTAGTAATCCCCATTGCCTGCCCATGACGCCATTCTATCGCGGCATGAGCTAGCAACGCCGACCATAAACATACCGTTTCCAACACTCCACAATAAAGCATGAAATTAAGCCCGCCCACCAACAGCAAGGTGCAAACACTAGCCAAGGGGAGGGCTTTAGAAAGCTGCGCTTTTTTAGAACTATATCATATTGTTTGAGCATTCGGTAAAAATGATTGGCCCTTCGCTTATTTCCAACTTCTATTCAATTTTCATACTGCCGTACTCTAACGGAAATATCTACTTACCCTCTTCTAAGACCATTTTCTAGCTAAAAATTATCACACTAAAGCTTCATGCTAGATAGCAGAGAGAGAAGGATTAGTAATTTACATTTAATTCCACTACCTTATTTGCGTATCATCAATAATACTCAACTGAAAAAAACATCGCATTTTACCGAAGATATATTAATCTGGGTACATTTTCACTTAAAAGGTCACTTAATATAGGTTAATGTACCTAAATTAATATATATTCGGTAAAATGCGATGATTTCTTCAGTCGAGTATTAGTACAAGACACTGAAGAAGTCTGCACATTGTAGACGAAATAAGTGTATCTGTCAAGGATAAGCAAATAAGGTAGCAGAATTAAATGGAAATTACTAATCCTACTCTCTCTCTTTATACAGGTATACCACTAAGACGCCCACACTCATCAGGATTCATAAGAAGGTTTTGTTTACAAAAAGCTTGTATGACCTTTTCAAATGTTGTTCTTGAAATGTAGTTTATCCAAGGGGTAGGTCACTCCGCACTCCAAGTGTGCCCCAAGTGTGCCGGTTGTGCTTGGCATAGAGTAAACTGCGATTTTTTTTTTTTAATATGAATAGTTTGGTATATTTAGCAACCCGGTATTTCTGACAGCTTGAATTTCCAAGCATCTGGAAAGTAGCAAAATTCATACCAATCCGCAAGCCCGGTAAGGATCCAACATTGCCTTCAAGCTACAGACCAATCAGCCTCCTTTCAGCGCTGAGCAAATTGTTCGAAAAACTCATTCTCAATCGTTTGCACAAGTTTGTCGAAGAAAACAACATTCTCCTTCCGGAACAGTTTGGATTCAGAAAGGCGCATTCCACCAATCACCAGCTAGTACGGGTGATGAATAACATCCGAAGTAACAAAGCTGTATCCAAGTCCACAGCCATGGCCTTGTTAGACGTTGAAAAGGCGTTTGACAATGTTTGGCATGATGGACTTGTGTACAAGCTTTGTAACTTCATCTTTCCTTTACATCTGGTTAAAATCACCCGTAACTACCTCCAGCAAAGGTCGTTTAAGGTATCGTTGAATGGTTATCTTTCCGACACGTTTTCCATCCCAGCAGGAGTCCCGCAAGGCAGTCTGCTGGGCCCCTTGCTTTACAGCATTTACACTTCCGACATTCCTCCCCTTGGAGACGGTTGCGTGTTTTTCCTGTTCGCAGATAATACCGCAATAGCCGTCAAAGGAAGGATGCCTCGCGAAATAACGAACAAACTTCAACAATGCCTTAACGCCTTTGCTGATTATGCCACCACGTGGAAAATCAAAATCAATGCCTCCAAAACACAAGCGATCATGTTCCTCCATCGGCAATCGCCCAAACTAAAACCGGCTCCATCTTGTACTGTAATCATGGATGGCACAAGGGTTGAGTGGTCTGCCGAAGTAACCTATCTCGGGATGTTGTTTGATGAAAAGCTCCTCTTCCGTTCGCATGTAGAGACAACTGTAGTCAAGATCCTGCCTCTCAAGGGTGAACAAACTGGCCGTCCACAAACAAATCATAGCACCTGCGATCCTCTACGCAGCTCCGGTGTGGGAATCATGTGCACAGACTCACAGGAAAATTCAGGTCGCTCAGAATAGAGTGCTGAGGATGGTTCTTGATC